TTCCGGCAGCTAGCAGTTCGGTGGTACAGTGGTAAGTAAGGGCACAGTGGCCCGGGTTCGACTCCCAGTGAGTGCACAATTATATAGTTCTTTTTGGTCATAAAATAGTCACAAGACTTAGAATTTTAAGTCATATTTAGTTGATATAGTGTTTCTTCCTTTAGGAACCCGAGAAGAAGTCACCCTCAATCTACGCCCGTGAGGTAGAAACACCCTCCCAGAGGTCGCGATTAAAAGGGGCGCGGCCTCTGGGGACGAGAATGGGCCCCTGGTACCGTTTATTCTTGTTTAAAATCTTACATGGTGTCGAAATCAGCGAAAAACTGCAGGAAATCCACGTCGACCGAAAGCAAGGCTGACTCTTTCGTTTGAACAGATGAAGAAGAAGAGCTTCTACTGAACTCAAACTTGAATATAAAATTGGAAGAACCGCTAGAAATGTCGACTGGGAATTTAAGTATCAACGAGCTTTTATGTAGGGTAAGTAGTTAGCGACATGTATGGGGCGTAACGTGGAGAACAAAGCCTGGTTCACAATTTTGCGATAAGCACAAACGTAAACACAAGCACAAGCGCAATGATGTTCAGACTAACAACATACGCATGCACCGTGCAAGTTGCATCCTTAGAACCAAAGTAATCCCTCTCCAGTTACTTGGTATCCGCGCGTTGCTTGGGCTGTCCACGTGAGCAAAATTCGCCTCATAGGATTGGCTATTTTTAGAACCAGCTGGGATTTCCGTAGTAAGGAGTGAGCTAAAAATAGCATGAGAGGGATTATCTTGGTACTGTCCTGCATGGGAAATAAACTCACTTACGCTTCATCCTTCCTTTGAATTAGTTATCGAAAAAGACTGGGTTAAATTCAGGAGTTAAATTCTTGGTTTCTCGTAATTAAAGTATTGGTACTTAGGCTCCTTAGGACCGTTGCTGAGGAACTGGATGGCGTTTAACGGATAGCTGAGAATAAACCATTTTACAGTTGTTTGTCCTGTGACGTGGCCTTTGAATGGTAGCGAGGCTGGAGGTGACCTTGTTTTGATATAAAGACCTCACTGCTTTTGTTGTGTAAATCAAGTTGTTCTTATGCTAACTAACTGACATTTAAATGAGAAAAGCAGAGAGGTCTGTATCAAAGCAAGGTCACCTTCCGCCTCGCTTGCATTCATAGGCCAGGTAACTAGGCACATCAGCTGAATGATGAAGTTTAAACTGAGATCTGCTGATTGCGTTTCGTTTCTCTCGTTTCGAATTTTACTACATGCCCCCAGTCCCTCATTAATTGATTCGCAACAACCTCTGTTATTTATTTTTGTAACTGAGCAAGTAAACGGGACATCGTTGAACTCGAAATTAAAGAGGAAGGCACTAGCTTTTTGAAGAATTGTTCTCGTACGTAACTTCGTTGTCCTGAATAGGAATCCTCTGTACGTTTGACTGGCATGCTCGAAGCTTGCCTCTCAAATCAGTTTTCTTATTCACGCGCAAGTTCTACTCATGCAGCAAGGTTTTTTTTCCTTTCAGTTTCATATTTACTCATTATTACGTTTTTGTAAGAGAGCTGCGGTAAGTTTCGTTATATTCTTTCGTGCAAGAAATCACGGTGGAAATCTGACACAGAAATGTCCTCAGCTGATGTAAGTATGAGTAAATAGCAAACTTGACTATGATATCATGACTTCTGTGTAGGAAGTATTTCGCTCAACCTTAACGCGCCCTGGATTAATCAGTGGTCCTGCTTCGCGCAAGATAGAGACGGTGAGCGATGGGGTAAAGTCCTGTTCATTGGTTCTCGGTATACTGAGAAATGGCTAGATAACTTCGTGGAGCGCCTAACAGTGTATCACTACTCCACCAGGGTGGGGTGTTAACAGACTGCAATTCCCTCTCATCGCTCCCTCCCCCGAACTCATTCAGTTTACCGCAATGCCCCACCCGTCTCGCCTAGACGTTTTGTGAGGTTGCCGTTAAAGAATGGCATTGTGAGAATAAAACATCTTGCCAATAGTGCAAAGTAGACCATGGAAGGTATTACTGTTCTCGGTTGGGCGTCAAAAGTAAATCACATTTGCTGTAGTTTTGCATGACTACGTTAGGCCGTGAAGAACTGGAGCCACTTTGTCATCCAATAGGAAGTAAACCATCAAAACCGGTTGGTGTCAAGTTCGTTGGCAGAAGTTAATGTTTAGCGAAGCAGCGCCCAGGCCTCGGCTCGGTTCAACCTCGCTCTCGCGACAAACCCTTGCTGGAGGCCGTGTCACCTGGTGCGCTCGTCTCTGCGTTCGTGCCGAACGCGTATCTGTTGTTTCGCCGCGTTTTTCCTGCGTATTTTCGCCCCTCCCTTCCCGTCCCCTTTTTTCTCCCGTCCTTTTCCTCTTACCTTTTACTACATTCCACCGGTGTGACTCGATGCAAAGGGCCTCGCTGTGGTCGTGGTTTCCATAGCAACCGTCAAAGCACCTACCCGCTCGGTCGGTCCCCCAACTCGCTTCGGGGACCAGGCCTCTGGTGCCTCGCCCCTGCAACTCCTCGCCGGTAGTCGCAGAGCGCAAACATCAATTGTGACTCGTTCGCAGACGTTTTCCCGCGCTACGATACCGCTACATGTATTTGCTTCGAGTTGTGATTGGTTTACTGGCCAGATTGCCTTTTTCGTTTTTGACTGGTCAGAGTTTTAGACCCGGGCATATGCAGCATTGCATGAATCCCGTGGGATATCCCGCAGACAACCCGATTTTCGTTCCCAGATCTCCTGCGGGCGAAGACAAGATGGCGAAGAACAATTCTGGCATGGACCACGGCAAAGAAATGCCTTAATCTGTTGGAAATCGGTTTAACTGTGGCGACTTCATTGTTACTATGCTACGTCGAGGAGTGATGGCAACTTTAGAAACGTTGAAATTTGACAACTTAGCTCTTCGCTCTCTTCCAATTGACAAGGAAACTCAAAATGTAATTAGGCAGGTGGAAGGTGCGTGCTTCACTCTTGTTGATCCGACACCGGTTAGAAATCCTACCTTGGTAAGTTACTCAGCTAACGCCTTGTCCCTCCTGGATTTGCCGCAATCGGAAGTGACTAGACCGGAGTTTGTCCAGTACATGAGTGGAAACAAACTGCTTGGAGGAAGCCAGACAGCAGCTCATTGTTACTGCGGTCATCAACAGGGGTATTTTTCCGGTCAGCTTGGTGATGGCGCTGCGATGTAAGTAAGTTTACACGTAGCTTAGTTTCAGCTGAGTTCTTCATTGGAACCTTGTGTCACAACAGGTCGGTGCTAATCGGTTTCAGAAGCATGAGCTAACACGATGAAATGATTGCTGGGGAGCATTCTGCTTTTACTGGGCAGCATGCCCTGGCCGGTGGCATTGTGTTGTGTTCT